TCGGCTTCAGGTGCTCCTGTCGCTGCCTTCCCTTCGCCTTCGAAGGCAAAACCAATTGTTTTAAAAACAACGCCCTACTACCGGTACGACAAAGCCTCCCCTGCCCGAGAGGGCAACCCAACCCCACGTGGGGAGGCAAATCTCTCGGGGCCGCAGCGCAGGATCAGCCCATCCTGGGAGAAGCACCCAACCACCATCCCTGCCTGGCACCGGGCACAGCGCGAAGAGCTTCGCCTGGGGCGCCCAGCACAGCTGACAGCGGGCCCTCCTGCCCAGCAGTGGAGCTCTCTCCGAGGCAGCGAGCGCTTCCCGCCAGACCTTCCGCTCATCCTGCAAGGGCCGCGCCATAGCCATGCGGGCTGGGCAGAGCCGGGAAGGCGAGCCACGGGTGCCAAGCGGACTTGGAAGGGAGCCAAGCTCGGGTCGGCCCGGCTCTTTTGCTTGGCAGGTGGGCGTGCATCCGCGGCTCGTTTTCCAGAATAGAATAGAATAGAATAGAATAGAATAGAATAGAATAGAATAGAATAGAATATTAGAATACTAATAGAATAGAAATAGAATATAAGAATAGGAATAGAATAGAATTAGAATATTAGAATACGAATAGAATAGAAATAGAAATAGAGTATTAGACTAGGAATGGAATAAGAATAGAATAGAAGAATAGAATAGAATAGAATAGAATAGAATAGAATAGAATTAGAATTAGAATTAGAATTAGAATTAGAATATTAGAATAGAAATAGGAATAAATGGAATAGGAATAAATAGAATAGGAATCAGATAGGAATAAGAATAGAGTAGAACAGAAATAAAATAAAAATAGAATATTAGAACAGGAATAAGAATATTACAATAGCATAGTATAGCATAACAGCATAAAATAGTAACTTTATTGTCACTTTGAATATACACTAATCGGCATACATTAAAATGAAATTTCGGTGCATACAGCTCTCAAAGGGTCACCACCTCCAATATACACTACACTACCCCCCTTGTACCTCTTTGCTGGAGAACTGCACCACCAGCTTGCTTGAAAGCTTTTGGTATCATTTGCTAATGGGATCAGGGACCCTCCTGCGATTGGAGGTGGGTAGAATTGGCCAGCAGACAATCTTAAACTGTAACAACCACAGGAGAGGCCTATAGGACAATAAGGCAAAACCAACTGGTGCTGTTGAGCACACTTACAACTAGAATCTGCCTTTGTGCAGTCCAAACATACTCATAATTTGTGGTATGGTTTACAGGTAACTCTTGACTTTACAACCATTTGTTTAGTGACCATTTGAAGTTGCAACGGGGCTGAAAAAAGTGACTTTTGACCGTTTTTCACACTCACGACCACTGTAGCATCCCCTTGGTCACGTGATCAGAATTCAGCCTCTTGGCAACCTGCATCTATTTATGACAGTTATAGTGTCCCGCGGTTGTGTGATCCTCTTTTGCGACCTTCTGACAATAGGGAAGCCAGATCCACTCAACAACTGCAGTGATTCACAACCGTGGCAAGAGAGGTCATAAAATTGAGCAAACGTCACTTAACAATGGTCTTCCTTAGCAATGAACATTTGGGGGTCAATTGTGGCCGTAATCAAGGACCACCTGTATAACTTGAGACTGAAGGTGCATTTATGTGATGACCTGAGGCTTGGCACAAAAGCAACAAAGTCACAAAAGTAGGTAAACTCCCTTTAATACTTCCAACTTGGCCCCCAATGTCCAGTTATCATCGGCTGGAGAAAAAACTCTCCCAAGAACAGTTTTTAAAGGGAAGAAATTCAGTCCGAATACAAAGTACATAGAAATTATAAATAAAAACCAGCACAAACCACACTGCAGCAATTAACAAGACAGGGCAGGATGAGGAATTGCAGACTTTAAAAGATAACAAAACACACACAGCTGGGAGGATGCTGGAATCCTGATAAGACTTGACAAACCAAGATAATCCATGCTTTGCTTCCAGCAAGGTGCTGTGTGGAAACGCCCTTTTAAAATCCTGTTTTCCCAGCTGCAGCTAATGAAGGGAATCAGGGCCTTTCTCCCTCCCGTAAGCCGTGTTGCTCCCTTCTCTGTTCCTCCTTGCGTGCCCAAGGATGAAGAGTGGGTGGCCCTGGGTTTTCCTCTGAAGGCCCAGCTGGACTGTGCCCTTCCCCAGTTTCTTCCACAGCCACCGGAGCCACATTCCCACTCCCTGTCAGCTGTTCAACCTCCTCCTCAGAATCAGATTCCAACAGGGGCATGACAGTTTATGCGCATTACAATTTCGCCATGAATGGAAAACTCAAAGCATAGTGTTTTTCTGGTCTGTCGAGAAAAATCGGGGAAAACTGGGGAGGGGTTTTTGGGGGGGGGGATTTCAAAATGGCTTTTTTCACTTTTCCAGAGGGTGGTGTGGCCCGCCCACTCTATCACCCAGAGGCCAGACACGGGCTGGGCCTAAAATATGAGAACCGGCTCTTGTTAGCAACTGAGTTTTTTAAGAGGTTCTTGAAAAACCTTTGAAGAAAAGGATTTCTGGGAGTGGGGGGAGAGATTTCTCTTCAGGCAAACTGTAATTGGTACCTTTTAAAAATCAATTTAGTTTACCAAATGTTAAGCTTTTCTTCAGGCACATAGAAGGAGGGCTGTAACCTTTTCGGTGATGAATCATACTCCCTATTGGAGTAGGTGGAGACGGAGCCAGAAATGCAAAGAACTTACTCCCTGCTACTTTTCTTGTGAAAAAATGCAGTTTGTTCCTTCCTTAATTCATCCTTTTGCCAAACGCACACTGTGCATGTGTTTACAGGTGGATAAAAAAATCCCCTCCATTTTGTCACAGAAAGAAACACGGTTTTAATTTCCTTGGTTCATTCTTTCTGGTTTTTCTCATTCCATTCCTTTCTTCCCCTTTTAGTATCGGTTCTGCTGGATGCCTCATTTTAAAACCAAATCTTTCTTTCTTTCTTTATTTTTTTTTTTTTTTGCTATATAAAAAGACCAGTTTTAGAATTCATAAAGTTGTTCTTAGCTGGAAATGTCTTAAAGAGACCCCAGAAATGATTGTTGTTGGGGGCGGCGAGTAAAAGGAACCATTTAAGATAGTCGTCCACTGATTCTGTTGTGTAAAGTAACTAGGTTGATAACTTTGGGGGAAGCTGGGTGAAATGATGAATTCAGAAAGCTTTTTTCGTTTTCGTAAGTTTTGTTTCTGGAATGAGAATCTTTTTTAAACGAGGGAGAGGGGACCACAGGACCCCCGGTGTGGAGTGTTTCAAAAGTCTGCAATCTGGATCATGTCCTCCCTAATCTTTGAGGCTGTAGGTTGGGGGACAGTCACCAAATGTTCTTGAGATGTTACTCCATTGGCCTCTTCAGATTCTCCAGCTAAGTAGAAGGGTAGGACGTAATAAACCAAATAAATAACCTGAAAATCCATAACCAAGGCCCTTAATTCTTATGGACTGGTTGCCTAGGTAGCCAAAACTGACATGAAGGAAATGATGTGTGGTAGCTACCCAGCAAGCAGAGAGTGCAATTTCTCTTTCACAATCATTAGTTCCGAATGTAAGTGTTCGTCAATAATATGCATATGAGTACTGAGTGTGAGCAACCTTTAGTTCCTAATATAAGTATTGCCTACCTACTATGTATATATATGATTAATGACTGCGAACAATGATTCTTTTTGAAAAGAAAAGGTTCTGAGATATGTTGAATTCCTTATTGAGGAGTTGGGTTGAGTTGGGTTGGGTTTTTTGGTACCTATCTTGACTCCTGGGGACTTCCTGGAGAAGGCCCTGAGTTTCCATGGCAAGATTTTTGGAAGGAGTTTGCCCTTACCACCTCCTTCCTGGGTGTGAGGGAAAAGGACTAGCCCAAGATCACCCAGAAGGCTGTGTCTAAAGCAAGACTAGAACTCAAGTCTCCCAGTTTTGGATCTAGGATATTTAACAACTCTACCAATCTGTTTTCCCTATGTCTCTGTGTAATAAATATATACAGGGAGTCCTTGACTTACAACCACAATTGAGCCCAAAATGTCTGTTGCTAAGCGAAACGGTGGAGTGTTGCCCCATTTTAGGACCTTTCCTGCCCCAGTTGTTAAGTGAATCACTGTAGTTGTTAAGTTACTAACACAGTTGTTAAGTGAATTTGGCTTCCCCATTGACCTTGCTTGTCAGAAAGTTGCAAAAGATCATCACATGACCACATTGCAACCATCATAAATACATGCCAGTGGCCAAGGGTCTGTATTTTAATCATGGGGAGGCTGTAACGGTCATATGTGTGAGAAATGGTCACAAGTCATCTTTCAAGTTCTATAACTTTGAACAATGTTATAACTTTGAACAATCACTAAATGAGCTGTTGTATACAACATTAGAATAGAATAGAATAGAATAGAATAGAATAGAATAGAATAGAATA